GCATTAACACATGTTAGACTGCACCCCATAAACACAATCAAGCCTAGAAAAAGACCAGTGAACCACCCCTTTAAGCATTCTTTTCATAACAGGAGGGTAAGCGAGCAGTTTATCAACCCACCCTGTTTTACCTGATGCATTGTGGGAAGGCTCTGTATAACAACCTGCTGTGGAGAAACTGGACGCCCCAGACGTTGCCAAAAATGATTATAATTGGCAACAGTTTTCATGGCATTCAAGAGAGGTGGGTGTCTGGTGTTATACAACACATTATTGATTAAAAAAAATAACATTTCAAAACAATTACACTTTTTTTGCAGCTAGTTAATGAAAAAATAAAACAAATAAATTAATAAAAACTATATAGACATTATTTCAACAGTATTTACTACTCTCTGTATAACAACCTGCTGTGGAGAAACTGGACGCCCCAGACGTTGCCAAAAATGATTATAATTGGCAACAGTTTTCATGGCATTCAAGAGAGGTGGGTGTCTGGTGTTATACAACACATTATTGATTAAAAAAATAACATTTCAAAACAATTACACTTTTTTTATTGCAGCTAGTTAATGAAAAAATAAAACTGAAATAAATTAATAAAAACTATATAGACATTATTTCAACAGCATTTACTACTATTGAAAAAGGCAAAATTGTGTGAACATTTAAGCAATTTTGAGTCTTATTCATGATGTCTGTTTAATTGTTTTCCTAGGATGCTTCAGAGAGAGTTTGATAGAGACTACAGCTTCCTTTCAAATGTATCCTTGACTTTTATCTTACATTACACCTTTACAATTCATGCATGTTTATAAAGAATTTCAACATAACAAATGCAGTAAAATACCTGATATGATGTATAAATCCTCAAATGATGCGGTTACATCGGCATGTATGATAAAATTGCATATATTTTCTTGTTGATTATCTTATTAATGTCACAAAGGTTGATAGAGACTACAGCTTCCTTTCAAATGTATCCTTGACTTTTATCTTACATTACACCTTTACAATTCATGCATGTTTATAAAGAATTTCAACATAACGAATGCAGTAAAATACCTGATATGATGTATAAATCCTCAAATTATGCAGTTACATCGGCATGTATGATAAATTGCTTTTATTTTCTTGTTGATTATCTTATTAATGTCACAAAGCTTGACCACATAGGTGTTACATTGTAAATGCGAGCTTTAGATTCTCACAGGTTTACATTTTTCCTCCATAAGGACTCACAGGCCTTGACTAAGTGCTGTTTTAGGTGATAATTGCGTCTGTGGCCTCTTGTGTCTGTTCCCCATTCGCTGTGGCCTCCTCAGTAACCTCTCCATTACTGCTCTGCAGCTCTGAAGCTTCATTCTTATCGGTGGATTCAGAGTTCTCCAGTTTAGCCTTTTCAGCCTCTTCTGCTGCTTTCATCTCTTTCAGCTTCTCTTTGAACTCCATCATTCTTGTGCTTAAGCAGAAACAACAGTGATTTATTCAGCTGTTTCCATAAACTAAAAATGCATCATATACAGAAGAAGAAGCTAGAATTCTGCAGAAACTGAAGGCAAATCATTCACAAAATTGACGCCTCCCCAGAAGTTTTTTTGTTGTTATTTATTTTGCCTTATGAACTCTTTCAAAATGTAATTATAGTAAGTAATAATAGTAGTAGTAACACCCGCTAACAAGCAACAATTTTATTTAAATATAAATTTTTTTTGCATTTATGAAAATCGAATAAAAAATAAAAAAATAATGAAAGTAATGAGAAATACAAAAAAATGTGTGTATATATATATATATAGCATTTATATTGAATTGTGCCATTTTCAAACATTATAATACTTTATAAATACTTGAGTTTATGTATAAATAAATAAATATATATATAAACAAACAAACAATACATGTATATGAAAAGTTTCTTATATATATATAGCATTTATATTGCATTGTGCCATTTTCAAACATAATACTTTATAAATACTTGAGTTTATGTATAAATAAATAAATATATATAAACAAACAAACAATACATGTATATGAAAAGTTTCTTATATATATATATATAGGTAAAATACTTTTTATATAGGAATTTTTTATACAGAATTTTTTTACAATTATTTTTATTATTATTATTTATTTATTTGTTTATTTTAGGCGATGTTTCTCTATTTGTTGATTTTTTTAAGGTAAAATGCTTCTGAATTTCAAAAAAGTAAAATCCTGAAAGTCTCTTACCTGTATGAAGTCTTCAGTATGCCATTGACCAGAGCGAGCTGCTCCAGCGTGGTGTCCTGAGAGGGAACCAAACCCTGAAACAGAGCTCATGTTTAACAAAAACCTGCAAGTCTTCGCATGTGGGCTCTATTAGACAACGGTTTCAAGCTGTGCTTACTTCAGGTGGAGTATCACAAAGCTCTGCACCTCCCTGACGAATTGACCGTTCTACACGCACAGCCTGCTGGGTAATGTTCCTCAGGAAATCAGAGCTACATTTGGTTTGAGGATGATCTTCTCCGTACTGTTGCACCACATAAACACGCTGAGAACATTATCATTTATTCAAGGCAAAAATTCAACCCATGAATACGAAATCTGACCTTGCTCTGGAAGATGCTGTGCGCTTCCTTTTCATGATTCATGCCTCCTCTGTAGTCTCCAGCCACACACAGTCTCTGAGCCAGCAGATGGTGCCTGCCAAACAATCAAAAAACACCTCTAGCAACGTTAACAGACAGTTAACATAATTATACGTTTAAATGAGTTTGATTACTTTGGCTCTGATCCAAACCTTAATGAGCTGCCTCAGTGTCAAATTACCCAGCCACCTTTAAAGTAACCAAAATTTAAAACTTATAAGTGACTAAACTAATACGCTCTTCATGAGCGGCAACTTTAATGTTTAAAAAAAATTGTAATTTAAAAAAAAAATTATTTTTAAATTATGTATTTGTGTTTTTTAGGTATTTTTCAGTTCTAATTGTATTTTATTTTATTGAAGTGTGTTTTCTTTTTTTCTTTTCTTTTATTTTTGTGTTTATCTTTTTATTAATTTTCTATTGTTAGTAGTAGTATTTTTGAGTATTTTAGTTTATGGTTTTATTGTGTGTAATTGGTTGGGGTAATAATATTATGTCATGAAAAAAAAAGACCACACAGTGCACGAATATTGCATTTAAAAAGGCCATTTCTAAATAGATGGCACTATTTTCTAAAAAAATTTTCAGTAATTTTACAATTCCTTAAACTTATTCACCATTTTGGATGTTTTTTTTTTTTATGTGCTCATTGCAGAGCATTATGGAATTGTCTTATGCGTGAAGGATATATGCGATCCTGCATTTTATTTTGACCAAAATATGCTATCTTAGAAGGTTGTATCATTTTGGAAGTGGATGTTGAGTGTGCTTCTATGATGATTAGAAGTCGTCTATATAGGCAGCTTACTAGTGTTTTGGAACAGAGCCTTAGTTAGTGCTTGTGGCATCTGAGCAGGTTATTGTATGATTACTATACAGCTCCCTCTATTTTCTTTTTATGATTATAGCATCTTGGCTTACATCAGAGCTGTCGTCAGGTCTGCGTCTCCCCTGAAGGAGCTGTTGAGTTTCAGTGCACTCTGTAGATACTGTAATGCCTGCTCTCCCTGAAGAACCAATCCCAGAGAAGCCTGAGGGAGAAAAAGAGAAAAACATTATCATTCAAACCAATATTTCTATTTGGGATCAGTGATAACTTGATAATGTTTGATGAAGTTTACATCAATGACTGCAGTGTAAGGATGATCTGCTCCGTGAACCGCCAGCAGAAGAACTTTGGCACGATACAGGCAGCGTTGAGCCAGAGCGGTTTCGCCTCCAGCTAACAGATACACTGCCAACAACACCTGGAACAAAAGAAGTAATTGCATCAGATAATGAAGATCTCTGTGCATTTTAAAAAGTAGGTCTGTTTGGTTTAGTGAGAGCGTGACTCACGTATTGCTGAATGGTGTTGGGATGATCGAAACCCAGAACCCTTTCGCTGATGACCACGACCCTCAGCTGCACGCTACGAGCCTACAGGACACGAGAGAGACATTGAGCGGATAACAAACTAACATTCTTAGAACTTTAGCTAACATTCTGGAATGTTGAACAAATGTTCTTCCAGTGACAGTAACAGAACATTTGTTCAAAGTCATTTTGATCTTTGATGACATTAAAAATGTTGACAATGACCTAAAAGGTCCTATTAAGCCACCGGGCATCAGGACACACCCTAGACAGCACACACAAACACACCTCAGCAGGATGACCCTGTACATAGGCCACTTTGGCCAGCAGACTGAGACAATGGCAGGCTTCAGGGTGAAGGTCATCACACACACGACCGAAGAGGTATGTCGCTTCTTTCAGCTGCTCGTACGCCTGCTCCAGTAACCCTACGGTGAAAACATGGTCAGGCGAGGCTGTTCACACATGACTCAGTTACTGCACACTGGCTCATGAATACCTTTTTGAAGACTGTTCTGAGCCGCCGTGAACATCCGTGTGGCGTCGGTGGTTGTCATGGTTATGTGCTTGACGACGGGCAGGATGTTGAGCACGTCGTCAGGAGAGATGGGCGCTTTGTTACGGGTGTCAAGAATGTATTCTCTGAGACGGAGCTGTGGGACATTCACAAACACGCTGATGAGAATGCTTTCTCTATGACTATGGCAAAAAAAAGTCACAGCACAAACCCCCTACAAGATATCAACAAAGATCCTCACAAATGCTATCAAGGGAAGTCTGACCCTTCTTGCTCACCAAAGCTGCATTTATTTGATCAAAAATACAGTAAATGTTGCAAAATATTATTGCTATTTAAAACAACTCTGTTCCATCTGAATATATTTTAAAATGTAATTTATTGCTGTGATCAAAGCTGTATTTTCAGCATCATTACTCCAGTCTTCAGTGTCACATGATCCTTCAGAAATCATTCTAATATGCTGATTTGCTGCTCAAGAAACATTTCTGATTATTTTCAGTGTTGAAAACAGCTGTGCTTTTTTGTGGAAACCGTGATACATTTAATTTTTCAGGATTCTTTAATGAATAGATGTTTCAAAAGAACGGTATTAATTTGAAATAGAAATATTTTGTAAGAGTATAAATGTCATAACTTTACACAGTCACTTTTGATCAATTTAATGCATCCTTCCAAGTTTATAAAAAATCGTACTGAGTCCAAACGTTTGACCAGTAGTGGATAAAAACACAAAATACACTCACAAATTCCGGTATCCAGTCGTTTATGATAAAAGCTGCTGCTTCCTTCAATAATCTCTTCTGCAGCTCCACGGCGTCACTGTCTGAGCTGGGAAACTCCACACCTACCCGAAGAGACAGAAAACAATATTTAAGGTCTCGAACAAAATCTCTAATTATGGACATTCTCAAGTTTAGCTGTAAAGAAGCTAAACGTAATGATTTCTGTTCAAGATGGATGTGATGATATCAGTTCTGCTCCAAAATCTAGCGATGGCTTGTGATGTCAAGGCTGTTTCAAAAGGTAGGCAGGAATATTACGTTGGCTTTTTAGCCTAATGGCTAAGGCAACATCTTAAATCAATATATGCTACATAGAAAAGTCAATCCCAGTATGCATTATGACAGATAGGTATAAAAATAGTCAAATCCCATTTAACTCAGTATTATATGTGTTCGTGTCATTAGCATAGAAACATTTCAAGTCTCCCATGTGCTTCAAAATGAGTCACTTACTAGGTTCAGTTTCACTAAATATTGCCTCACTAGGGAAACTTACTAGGGTTTGGAACAGACCTTGTATGTAGTTTGCTTTAATGGATCTTGAAGTGTTTTTGTTTTTTTTGTTTTGTGAGAATGAGCTTTTCCTGACCTGAGGAGTAGACATTAGGGTTGAAACGCATCTCAAAAATTATGTCACTGACGGATCCGACATCTTTGCAAGCTTTTCTTACTGCGTCTATGTTCGGAGAATCAGCTGACAACACACAAATAAACACATACGATTATTCCTGTTAAACAAATTCATCTCAGACACACAGTCCAGCATCCCACGACAGAAAATGAACACTTCTCACCAGATTTCATTGACTCTTCCACCCCTCCGTTCTCCTCCATGTGAGCCTTCACTCGCTGTGAGAACTCAACATGTCTGAAACATCAAGACATAAGCAAACATAAAATCTCTGGTTTGTAGATTTAAAATGGAAGTGTCTAAGTAAACGAAATACTTTCTTGCATCCCAGTTTAATATGCAAAATTTTACATATACATAATGAGATTGTGTGGAAAAAAAACTGGCTTTCTGTGTGTTTGATTCATGCATTAATAATTGTTGCTTGCTCATGACACGATGCATTATGCACTGCTGCAATTTACGTACAAATACTTTTTTTTGTAATAATATTTTGTTTGAACACCTCCACAAAGCAACAATGGCTCAACCAATGGTGTGAATTTGGGGCGGGGCTATCAGTTTAATCGACCAATGGAAAGACTTGGGATACCTGTCAAAACTGACCTGTGCTGAATGTGTATGCTGCAGCTAATATACAAATAATTTTCCTAAATATTGACTTTTAGCAACATGAAAACTGATTCTTTGTCAAAGTAGAAAACAGTGTTATTTTAGTATCATTTATATGAAAAATAGTTTATATTTATAGCTTTTATTTTTATACTTTGTTTTCATTTTAATTTGACTACATTTATTAGTAATTTGTTTATTTTTATTAGTTTTTGTCTATTTTAAATATTATTATTCAGGTTTCGTTTCTTTTTATGTCAGTTTTAGTTTTAGTTCACTTTAAGTTTTAATTTATTTCCAGTTAGTAATTTTAGTGCTTCAAAAATATTTCATTTCAGTTTTATTTCAATCAACAACAACAAAAATGGTTTTAGTTAACAATAATAACACTGCTAGAAAGACACTAAATATTTTGTTGTAGCATTCCGACAAACGAACACCGGCTCAACCAATTGACCTATCTGTAAGCCCCTCCCCTCGAACGCAGATGAGCCAATGGCAGTCGAGTATCAGTTGCACAGGAGCGATACTCGGACATCTTTAGTTTACAGCGCCATAGAGAAACATTGGAAGATCCGAAGCTCGCATCGTTTCTATGGGGTTTATGCTTCAAAAATGGAAAAACGATGTGCCTGGGGTACTTGTAACACTGATTCCAGGTATCCGGAGAGGATGGGCAATGGAATTTATTTTATTCTATTTCCTAAACCCAAACAAAACGGAGCAAAATGTCCCTAAGCATTCACCTCCAATCCCAATGAAGGCAAAAACGTTCATTTTCTGCTCAATTGACCTATCGGTAAGCCCCTCCCCTCGAACGCAGATGAGCCAATGGCAGTCGAGTATCAGTTGCACAGGAGCGATACTCGGACATCTTTAGTTTACAGCGCCATAGAGAAACATTGGAAGATCCGAAGCTCGCATCGTTTCTATGGGGTTTATGCTTCAAAAATGGAAAAACGATGTGCCTGGGGTACTTGTAACACTGATTCCAGGTATCCGGAGAGGATGGGCAATGGAATTTATTTTATTCTATTTCCTAAACCCAAACAAAACGGAGCAAAATGTCCCTAAGCATTCACCTCCAATCCCAATGAAGGCAAAAACGTTCATTTTCTGCTCAAGCAGAACGTTATTGTCATCTTGTGCTTCAGCAAGGTATCTCTGGCTAAAACTAGCTAACGTTAAAGTTAGTGAGTC